CCCCCCCCCCCCCCCCCCCACTGGATCTCAGGAGGGAGGTTAGGCGCCGAAGGCGACGGAAGCCGGCGATCGAGGTCCACGTCCCCCGTGCTCGGCTCAAGACGGCAGCGGCCAAAGTCCTCGCAGTCCGCCGTCGCAACCGCGTGTGGCACGTCGCCGGGAGTTCAACGCTCGGCGGCATCTGAGAGGGTGGCCTCTGCACGGGGCGGCGGCAGCACGGAAGGGGAGCCGACGCCCGACGCGGTGCGGGCCGCAGATGGGGAGGTGTCAGCGTCCGCAACCCTTGGCGGTGTTGCCGGTGCCGATGAGCCACGGGCCCGGGAAGCGCCAGCGGCGGGGGAGAGTAACGCGCACGGTCAAGGAGGTTCGGGCTCGGTGGGAACCCCCAGGGCAGGGGGCGAGGAGGAGATGGCGGTGTCGGGGATGTCGTCTGGGGGACCCGCCGCCGCCGCTTCGCAATGCCTGTAGCATCAGCAGCATCAGAAGGAGCAGGGCGGGATAATTAGCCGCGTGAAGGGCACGCAGGACCGCGCGGGACGAACTCAGGTGCGTAGGTGAGACAAGCTATCACCCCCCCCGTCCCTGGGTCGATTTTCACAGCTTTACGAAGAAGAGAATATACAATATTCGAGCGATACATTTTCGGAGACGAGACGGTTCCGGCGGCTCTGTTTGTCGGCGTCGCCACTCTCTCTGCTGGGGAGAAATGGAGCGTTGAAAACCACCAGGGCGTCTGCTATCTTGTGCCCCTTTCGGCATTATCTCGTGGATGAGCCTTGGTTTTGCTTGCTGTTGGAGATGAAGAGAAAACGTCGGGGGACGAAGTCATGTGGAACGTGTGGTGAAAAATCTTGAATGGAAAACGCCCCCGTCAGTGATTTTTGGGAGTGTTTGATGGTAGTGTGGAAACGGTTCCATGCTGATCAGTACCGAACCATGGCATGCGATACAAGACGCCCCGCTGATATCTAACGACTAGCTTCTAAAATGTTCTGACTAGGTGTGTTTAGTGTTGCGTGTTTGGCATATCTCGTGTCGCCCATTGCTTCAAGTGAGAACAGGATCATGGTTCGGGTTCATGCTTTTTTGTTCCTTTTTGTTGACCCAATTACTTTGCATACCGGTTGTCATACTCGTGTGTGCGTGTGGGTGTGTTACCATACATGGCGTACGTTACCTGGCGTACGGCGTACGTTACCCTGAAACAAACGAATCAGCGCTTGGTGTCACAGTTTGTTTCGAGGCTTGAGCGTGCAGGCTACGTTTGTCTTTTGCCCGTGTTGGCGACAGCACGAGACGGGAGTGCGTGTCGATGTTTGTTGCCTTCTCTGTCACCCTGCGGTGTACGTGGGCTTGCTTGTATTTTCCACAACCACCGACACCGACGCGTGAACGTTTTTCGTGCCTGAATCCAGGACCTTGATTTGCAGCGTTGTGCGAGGTCTGGGCATCAGGAAGACCGAAGAGGGAAGTGATAGTATTGTCGTGGCAACAGCACATAGACTACCACCGTCCTTGGTTTCGGAAGCGCGACAAGCTTCATGTGCTCACTCACCCGCCACCCGCAACAACCTTCCTTTGTTTGCGTTTTCGGGCACACGTTTCAAGGTGTTCACTGCCCGCCGCGGCACCACCCATGTCTTTCGGCCTCGCTACAAGTATGTAGTCTACAGCCGCAGTTGATACCCCCCCTTCCCCATGCCGGCTGAATCCCCAGGGGAAGCTTCACGCCTACAACGCTGTGCTGCTCAGGGTGAAGAGCCTTTAAGCCTGGAGGGACCCTGGACGGACGAAAGTCTGGGCGGCCGCTGTCTCGCTTCTGGCAGCGATGCTTGCGATCGTACCTGCAAGGTACGTACGCTTCATTTTGATGTTGGACTACTTTTTGATTTATTTTTTTGCTCTCCCATCATTGGGCTCTGTCGTCTGCCCCTCTGGCTCCTATCCTCCACTTCTACTAGCTAGACGACCCAACCGGGGTCGCATTGGAGGGGGGGGTTGGGTCCCTCCTGCGGTTCCTGCCTGAGATATTCTTATCGCGAGAAGGGTACAGCAATCCCTTCCCTCGCGACTTATGAAGTCGATCAAGTTTACCAACAACGAGCTTTGCAGCGCGTCGCTTCCAACTTAGACCAGGGTTTAATTAGTGAGAAAAATATTCACTCTGCCGGAACCCGAACCCATGACCTGGCCCTCAACAGGCTGCGAGGGTACGTTCTGGACCAAACCCGGTGGTATACTTTCAGCTGAAGCGGAGAAGTGAATAGTATTTTCTGCATGCAGCAAGAAAGATAACGAGATGCTGTAGCACCAAGGTCGATGATCATGGTCGCGGTATTTTGGACACCTCCTGTTGTTGGCATCATTTTTCGCCCTTGTGGTGCTCCATCTTTTCATTCCCCCCCGCCCCCCTCCTCCGGTGTTGGCCATCGGGGTTGGGTTTTCGTCGCTTGGGAACGACGCTGTGAAACAAACCGCCCCCCGCGGTGTTGGCCATCGGGGTTGGGTTTTCGTCGCTTGGCAACGACGTTGTAAAACAAGCCGCCCCCCCCGGTGTTTGCCATCGGGATTGGGTTTTCGTCGCTTGGCAACGACGTTGTAAAACAAGCCAATTCACTTCGTGAACTCGGCAACCAGGTTACCGTTTTTTTTTTTTTCCTCCGTTTATTTTTTTTGGGCGGTAACCATAATGATGGTTGAGTAGATCATGTTGTGCGGGGTGAACCCTCACTCCGCGCAAGGGGGATGATCGCACCACGTTGTGTTAAAATGGTCAAGCACCCTCGAGGCTGTTACACAGTACTTACAACTGTCTCTGGAAGTGAAGCACCAGAAAATAAATATGGTCATACGCAGCTGTCATCCGTACGCAAGGAAGTAAGCACACGCGCACCCTTCATGCGACTCGCCGAATATCTCACGGCGCTTCGCGCTTGGTGATGTGAGAGCCTGGTCCGGTGAGAACCCGGCGTGCTCCGTCCCGGCTTTGTAGGGATGCGAGGTCAACGGTCTAACGACTACGGCATGCACGACTTTGAGTACACCCCCGCCCCCCTAGCGTGCCCCCCCCCCGGTGTTGGCCATCGGGGTTGGGTTTTCGCCGCTTGGCAACGATGTTGTAAAAAAAGCCCCACCCTCGGTGGTTGCCACCGGGATTGGACCTTCGTCGCTTGGCAACGACGTTGTAAAACAAGCCAATTCAATTCGTGAACTCGGCAACCAGGTTGACTATATCATTTTTTTCCTCCGTTTATTTTTTTTGGGCGGTAACCATAATGATGGTTGAGTAGATCATGTTGTGCGGGGTGAACCCTCACTCCGCGCAAGGGGGATGATCGCACCACGTTGTGTTGAAATGGTCAAGCACCCTCGCAGCAGTTACACAGTGCTTACAACTGTCTCAGGAAGTGAAGCACCAGAAAACATAGTAAGTCATACGCAGCTGTCATCACGTACGCAAGGAAGTAAGCACAAGATGCCGAACACCCTTAGCAGGATGCAGCGCACCCTTCATGCGACTCGCCGAATATCTCACGGCGCTTCGCGCTTGGTGATGTGAGAGCCTGGTCCGGTGAGAACCCGGCGTGCTCCGTCCCGGCTTTGTAGGGATGCGAGGTCAATGGTCTAACGACTACGGCATGCACGACTATGAGTACACCCCCCCCCGCCCCCCTAGCATTTCCATTCCCGAAATCCCAAACTCACTGTATCTGTTTGGTCAGTTGCCTGACGTTGCCGTTGTGCGGCTTGGTACTTTAGGACAGATATGAAACACTGGTGCCATGTATCACTCCAGCAGCGACATCTCTTTAACCGTTCGAACCGAATCTGGGTAACAACACCCTGGATCATAACGCGACCCGCCCCCCCAGGCATACTTTTGCGGCGTAGGTGTCGTTCCTCTTCACGGAGCCTGTCCGTCCTGAGACAAAAAACATCGCCAAGCTTCTGCTGGAAATATTTTGGGAAGGCTTGCCTGTCGAGTCCGGGACGCACACGAACGTGCGCATGGCGGCGATATTCACAAAATGTCGCGTCCTGCAGCAGCGGAGGTGGCGGTGCTGCTGTAGCTCGTAGACTTTGTAGTCTACCACAGAGGTTACACTGCTGTCACCGCTCTATCACAGAGGTTGGTCTACACTGCTGTGAGATCGGTAGGCCCGAGCGAGCTTTGGAAAGAGAAATGTAGATAGATGTTCTTATCAACTGACTCCCTGGTCAGGCTTTGATGGGTGCTAGATGAGAGTGAGCACAAAGAGGCGAAGGCGCGCTTGTGTCTCATCTCAACAACAAAAAAAAACAAAAAACAAGCAGCAAAAACACAGCAGGTTCCGAGGGTCTCCGGGGTAATGGCCCCGGTACCGGAACTTCGGGGTTCAGAACAATAGAACAACTACAGTCTCACCTGCCAAATTATCTCCGCTACAACCAACTCTGTGCTCATGTTCTCTGCTGAGTACCATCTCTTCTTTCTGTATTATGTCTACGGAAGGCTGGTTGCCGCAGTCGCACCTATGGTAAACTGTGCCTGACTACGTTGTAACAGTTTTCCTCGACACGACCCCTCGATTAGGCAAGTAGCCGATGTTCCAAACAACCTTCACTTCGCTGCCATTCTTGCGACCCCTCGATTCCCAATCCATATCAAAGAATATCGACCTCCACATGACTGAATCCATCCTGTGAGCAATACACGCGTCCAAAACATTCAACCATATGCGATCTTGTGCTTAATATGTTCTAGCACTTGTAGTCCTTGATGAGTTGCATGATGGTGGCGAATCGCTGCTTCGGGAGATGTTTCGTCGCGATGTCCGCCAACATCGTGGCACTAGGTTGGTGGTGAAGAGTGATCCGGTGCCCCTTCGTGAGTTCCCTGAGGAAGAAGAACCGGAGCGCGATGTGCTTGGTTCTAGAGCTGAACATCGCGTTGCTGGCCACAGTCAATGCTCCGGTGCTGTCGCTGTTGATGGGTACCGATCGAAAGGTCTTGAATCCGATTTCCGTCATGAAGTTGGAGATGTAGACTGCCTCGCGAGCACTGAAGCTCAGCGCTTGAAGTTCGGCCTCCACGGTGTTCTGTGCTGCGAGAGTCTGTGCCTTGGCTCCGTAGCTGATCAGTCCCCCTCCTAGGAAGAACAGGTATCCGGTGGTAGACCTGCCGCTCCAAATGACGAGTCAATGAAGCACGAGAGTATGAACTGCCCCTTCTTGTGCACGATCGGCAGGTCCGGCCTTCCGCGCAGGTACCGTAGTAGATGCTTGGCCGCAGCCATGTGGACCTGTGCTGGTTTTGCGCATGCCCGTGTCAGTTGGTGCACTGCGTATGACAGATCGTAGCGGGTGCATTGGGCAAGGTACAGGAGACTCCCGGTGATGGCCTGGAATCTCTGCTTGTCCTCGGGTCCGAGTAGTTGGTCTTGTGGCTGCTCGGTTGATAGTTCTGCTCCATACCCGGGGGTGCTGACCGGGTTTGCCTGTTCCATTCCGTATCGCTGTAGGATATCTCTCGCGTAGGGTCCTTGCGATATGGCTAGTGTGCCATGTTCGTAGTCCCGCTGCACTTCGATGCCGATTACGCGCTTGACCTCTCCCATGTCTGTCATTTCGAAGCTGTCCATGAGTTCCTTCTTTTTCCTACTTACGATCTCCTTATTTCCGCCCGTGATGAGCATGTCATCGACGTAGATCGCGAGGATTGTGAGTTCGTCCCTGCTTACGAAGATGTAGACACAGGGGTCAGAGTGAGTGCGCTGCCAGCCGAAGATGATGAGCCTGTCAATGATGGCGTCGTTCCACAGTGACGGGGGCTGTGACAGGCCGTACAGACTNGGACTGTGACAGGCCGTACAGACTTTTCTCCAGTTTGTAGACCATCATTTCACCTGTCGTAGGGTCCCTCTCCTCGTCGCCTGGCGCCGGCCTGACGTAGACGTCTCTGTCGGTGTACGCGTTCAGAAATGTCTCCCCCAAGAACCCTTTGCTCGAGGTGCCCGTGGCGTAAGCATACGCCCGGACTTGGGTGAAGGGGTCTTCATCCAGGTGAGCAAAATCCTCCGCGTCAGTAGGGTATCGTTGCTGCGCTTAGTGCGTGAGATCGAGTAGTTGATCCTCGGTGAGCTCCAGTGGGTCGGGGTTGCTGACAGCCATGGTAGAGCGGCCTCTGTCGTTCATGTTCACTTCCAGAGATTTCGGGATGCATGAAGG